CCGGCCACATGACCACGGAAATGTCTTCGGACAGCGCTGGCTCTTCGGCTTTGAAACGGGGATGAGCACTGCAATCCTAGAGTCAGATTCGACTGGCTTTCAAGCAAGGGAACCTTTACCTTTTATGCAAAACACAGTAATTTTAGACAGACAGAACAGTACTCGGCATTAATGTTTAATGGAAAGAAATTGTGTTATGGTAAGTAGGCAGAACAACTTCCCTGCTTACACGATGAACAGAAGAAACTCCTTGTGTCTTTCTGTAAACCAGATTCAGCACTGGGGTATCAATTAGCAGTAACTCCCATAGCGGGAAACAAGATCTAAAATACTCTATGTCCACCAAATCCTATTCCTGGAGGGTGCTGTGAAGCATCCTTTGCCTAAATACTGTCCCCATTGTGGCAAAGGAATACATTCTATTGCACCTAATCAAACAAGCAATCCTAGACACTCATAGCTACTCTATATATTCTCATATATAGGGCCTCCTACAAAAGGCAGCTGTTTCTGTTTACACCCTTCAGGCTCAAGTAGGTAGAAGACAGGCTGAGACCATATACTACTTCTGAGAAAGTACTGGCAGAAAAAGAGGTCTGGATCCACCCCATCAATCTTCAAAACATAAACCCAATTTCTAAATCTCTCCAAGAGGTAATGTTAATGATAATTTAATTTAAATTCCTTGACTCTGTTTCCACCTGTGTGTGTTTGTGGGGGAAGGGGGGCCAATGCAGGCCAGAGCACTCTCCCAGGCCCTCTTTCTAGAACTCGTTGCATTTCTTTCTGCAACAGGCCTTATTACTAGTGCATTAATAAAAAATACTTATATTTTCCATTCAATTAGTATATCTGAAAAACATTAAAAGCATCATGCATCTTGGGGTTCCATTTCCATATTCTTTTTAAAAATATTTTTATTGGTTTTTATAAATCTACACCCTACAGGGAAAGGGAGGGGGGAACAACTCTAAAACTACGACAAGTAGCATCTATGAGATTACAGTTTACAGTTGAATATAGTTCCTGTATAACAATAAGTAAAGAGGTTATATATTTATCTATGTCAAAATAGGTTTTACTAAATCTAGGTGACTTATAATCCAATACATTGTGTTTATTTTTACATTTCTTTTTCTTTGCTCTTACCACATTCTTTAATAATGCCATATAATGGGCTGCCTCACTACCAGTTCAAATTTACCTTTTTAATCAACTACAATGAAATAACTACAACACAGAGATATTCACCTTTTCCAAAACAAATTGCATAACCTTTGTCTGCCAATGAACTGCATCTATAATTGCTCTAAACTACAATATTTCCTCTACACTGAAGTGCTGTTAAATTAAGAGCTCTAACAATAAAAGTAGCCCAACGACTGTCAAGTTTTAAAGGCCCTGTCTTCCCTAACTCAAATGTATGACTGACTGAAAGCTACAAGAACCAGAGAAGTCACAGACAGAGGAGTCTACAGATGGAAGAGACCATTCCATTTTTATTGTCAGAACATTTTGTTACATTCCTAAACACATTGTGCATCCTACGTCTACAGAGCATTCAGCTCCTAAGTCTGAACCAGCCCCTAGAGTGTGGATCCATACATGGGGCCAGGGACAAACAGTGGAGGGCTTTTCTACAAACCTGAAGGAAGCCACCAATTTGTAAAAAAAATCTGGATTAAAAGTAAACCAAGGTCCCAGTCACACATGCCAGATAATGCGGGGGGAGGCGTGGCTATTTGCACCTTCGCAATTTGACCCACCCCGAGGCAATCAGATGCAATGGTGGTGTACCGGGTTTCTTCCCGTGGGCGCATATTTCCAACGTGCTTCAACAAGGAAGCACAGAGGCAAAAGGAGCACGCTGGAGCGATCACACAGAGCAAGTCTGTCTGCAGCCCATTGCAAACCAGTTGAGAGTGGACTTTCACAGGTACTTTTTAACTCTGCATCTTCGGGAGGCCAATATGGGTTGGCGGCAGGTGTACAACGCTAGCCAGATGTTTCTGTGTGATTGCGCCCTTATAATTCGCCCGGCAATCGTGGCTCTCCCGCAGCAAATTCTGCATGTGATAACAGAAGTACCATCTGTAGCTTTAAGAGATGAATGCCCACTGATATCTCACAAAAGTACATTCTGAGAAACTGGAAGACATTTGGGAGGTTGCTAGGCAACCACAACACTATTGCTGAGCCTTTTTTCTGTTCCCCCTTGCTGAAGGGGGGAACAGAAAAAGGTTGTTATATGACTGGGAGAGAAGAAAAGGAAAGAGGATGCCAGGGGGAGGGAAGGAGGGAAAGCTGAATGGGGGGTAGATAAAGGTCAGTAGTTCGAGTCAACAACAAAGAAACTCACTAAAATGTACAGTTCATGTAAAAGTAGGTGTTGGTTTTGTAAACAGTCTGACACAGACTTTCTTCACATGTGGTGAACCTGCCCATGTGGAGTTAGGTATTGGGAAGTCACTGTCATAAAATTACAGTAAGATTTATGTATAAATATACCTTCACTGAAATAATGTTGTTAAATAAAGTTATGATTCTTCCAAGGAGATTACAGAATATGATGTTACATATAACTACCATAGCCAGAATTGTTTTGTCTAAGTATACAAGAGTAGACTGAAAAAATTAAGAAAACTTACTTTATGATTCCCATTAAGTAACTTAGTACAGAGAGGGAAACATATAAGTGAATTAGACTGTTATGGCTGTCTTGTGTGGAAAAAACCAGAAGCAAATGCGTAATAACTGTTACTTCCTGTATCAAACTTTGCATGTTAACCTTTGTTGATACTTATTTTCTTTGTATCAATATTTATTTTATTAATTAAAATAAAAAGTAGTAATTTGGTGGGTGGGAGGGAGGGAGGGAGGGAGAAAAGGAAGCAAAGAAAGGCTATGGTCGCTTCCTAGAGATAGGAAAAAGGAAATAGTGCAGGGAATCTGACAATGAAATGTCCCCTCAAGATTCCATGCTTACCCTGTTTCCCAAAAAAAAAGACCTACCCCCAAAATAAGCCCTAGCAGGATTTCTATGCATTTGTGGTATAAGCCCTAGTGTGTCTTCTTGAGAAAAAATAAATATAAGACAGTGTCTTATTTTCAGGGTAACACGGTATTATATTCTGAAATTATTCC